GGGGGGGTGACAATCAAATGCCAGATTCTGGAGTCACAGCGCCCCCTGGTGAGTAAAAGGGAGCGCCGCCCCGGCGATGAGTCCACGCGATTCGCATTTGTATGAGGCGCCTAGGACTAGAGCTAGGGAAAAAAAAAGATAGAAATGCAGCTACGGACTCTTGTACTTGTTACTGAGTGAATTCGTCAACAGCTATATTGTGTTATGTATTACTGTGTTCATCCCTAAATACACAGTCTCTCATTCATTAATACATGCATTCATTCGTTAGCTAATATTTGTCAAGCATCTACCTCCCTGTTGGTGCTGTGATTACAGGGATGATGAAACAGCCATATTCCTCTCCGTGTTCCCAGGACGATAGGCGAGGCAGAATTCAAAAGGAATACGGTTGTTAATGGGGTGGGTGGGCTCTCTGGGAGGTCAATGTGTTTAAGGAAAGCTTTCTTGATGGACAAAAAGGCTGACTGTTGAGGAGCAGTAGAATTTAGCCAGGTGAACAGGAGAAGGGGCATCGAGGATTGCAGGATGAGTGAGTGCAAAGGCCCTGAGGCAGGAGGGAGGAACCGACATTCACGGATTGGAGGTCCAAGAGGCCAGAGCACAGTGAGTGAGGGGAAGGATGGTATACAGTCAGGGAGGTATACAGAGAGGGAGGCTAGAGCTTGGTAAAGAATCGACATTGTACCGCGTGCAATGGGAAGACGGTGAGGAATTCCAAACAGGGCCATGAGAAAACCATGTACAACACCGTCGAGCCAAATACAATATGGCATTATTTTCTATTACCCGGCACAATAAGAAGATTCAAAAGAACTGCAAGAGAGCGAAGCTGAGGCATATTCAGTGGTAGCTTAGAAAAGTACCCGCCTGTGTAACAAGTGAAGAATTTAAAGATGAAAGGCGTTAATGATAACCAAGGAAGGCTTCAGAGGACGGATTAAATCTTGAGTCATGAAGGGACACAGGAAGTTCTGGTGATCATGGAAAAGCAGGAAGAGGTGAGGACAGGAGGGAGTAATCAGCCTAGGGAGGACATTTTTCAGTAAGAGTCCCTGGTTTGCAGGTTTACTTCAGAAAACCTAAGAGATTTTTTCCTTCCCCATTTCATTTGGGAATGAGAAACTTGGTCATAAGAACCTTTCAGAAGATGTGCACCTGGGGTGTTTACCAGAGGTCACAGATTGGTGCGTGGCTTGAACGCTCCATCCAGCTGGTATACATAGTAGGTTTAGAATTTATTAGAAAATAAATTTGAGTGGTTTCAACATCTTGAGGCTTCACGTTAAAAAAATTGGGGTTGACTAGCTCCTAGGAAAAAGGCATCTCCCACATCAATAATCGGCTGCAGGTGATGAGCTGCGCCAGCTGGATGTGGTCAGCTGGATGGAGCAAGTCCCTCCCTGACGGCCATCAATCATTAATACTTTCGGGAGGCCTCGGAATCTGCTCCCCACCCCGTCCCCACCCCACCCTCCACCTCAGCAGTGAGAGGCAAGGGAGGGAGACTGTGTCTCCTCTACGGCTTCATCTTGTGCCTTTCTCTGTCTCTTTCAGCCCTTTGCTTGCATTTCTTTGAGTGCACGTGATCACCTACCTTTATTTGACATTGAAGGCCCCCTGCACTGCCTTCCCGGCCGCTGGGACTGAGATGAGGGTCAAGCACAGGAAGCACGCACGGTCAGGTGCGCCGCCTGGTCCTGCTCTCCTTCCGTTGCCTGCTACCTTCCATCCTCTGACCAAATCTCAGCCGAAACCCAGTTTCTGCTGGGACAGTGGAGACCTCCTGAAACCCCTTAAGGTCTGCTCCTGTAGCAAATGGGACTAGTTTCCTCTTTAAATCTGAGATTTTAAATGTCCTTTTAAAAATATATGTATTCTACGTTTTAAAGACGTTTAAAAAAAAAAAAGGAAAGGAAATAATCGTTCTGGTGATATTTTGGCAAAATACCCTCTAGGTGGACCTCAGAGGCTGGGGGCCTGGGGAATACTCCCGCGGTCCTTGGGCGCCCCCTGTAGGCACTGAACAAATTACCACGTGATATTGGGGGTTGGCGCCTCCTCCCCCTTTCTCAAGCCTCAGGGCCAGAGTGGAAGGGTCATCCCATCATGATTTCCCTTTCAAAGCCTAAGAAACAGGAGCCTGGCTCAGATGTTGCAGGTTTTGGAGGGAACTCATGCAGGCGCTGCTACGAAATAATGTGGCGGGCTCACTACTGCTTTGCGACAGAGTCTAAATTAAGCTGCAACATGTCTGGACAATTTTGTAGCTTCCATGTCAATTCGAGTAGGGTTTTTGTTCCCCCTCGATTTTCCAGTCAACATCTTTGCCATGTGATTCGTTGTGTTCTTTGCAGGGTTTTCATGCCAGTAGTGACACACAATCTTTTATTATCGTAGGTGTTCTCGTTGCAGCTATAAATAACATATATTGATAACACCCACCTGCTAACATACTGTGTAATTTACTTCTGCTTTTTGACTTTGGTCTGTCTCTCATCACCATAGCTACGTGGGCCATGCCTAGTCACCACCAGCAGCTGCTGTTGTGCAAAAATGTCACCAGGGCTCTGCTTTTACAAGCTCAAGCAACACAAAACAAAAGAATCTGATATTGTGGAGTAAAATCTCTTAATTTACACACGTTGGTTCAATTAAATAAAAATACTGTGTGGGTCAAAGTAGTAATAATAATAATAATTAAGAGGCACAAGTGTCAGAGTAATCGGTCATAAATGAATAGGAGTGCTTCCTCCTTTATATCATCTGGATTATCAGGGCATATTAATCCACATCCTATTGCCAAGGTCATTCGTTCTTAGCCCTTTTTAAGGTACATCTGTTTATCCATATACTTTTGTGGGATTGATGGGAAATAATTTCCCTTCAGCCCCCTCGAGGCCCCGCCCCAGCCCCGCCGCGTGGGCGCCCCCTGCTGCCCGCGGCCGGAGCGTGCGGCCGTTCGCCACGCCTCCCGGTTTCTGTCGGCCCACGGGGCGTTCCCTGTCCCTTTAATTGGAATGTACCAAGTCCTTCCAAGTGACGTTTCCTCCCTGAGTCCTAAACGTGAGAAATCCTTGGTCTGACACCCCACAGGAGGGAAGGGGGAGACGGCGTTGTATTTTGCGGGTGTTCTGGGCCAACAGGGAGTGAGGGAGGGCAGGGGGAGAAGCGCGCGGCCGCGGCCCTCCCCGCCTTGCGCCATAGTCCAGTCCCAAGATGGCGGCCACCATGAAGAAGGCGGTGAGTGGGGCGCTCGCGGTGCGGGATGCTGGGGCGGCGGGCGGCCGCGGAGGGGCCAGGGGAAGGATGCCGGGGTGCTCAGCGCGGAA